TGTCACGAATTTAGGGTACTGGCTCGCATATTTGGCACTCCGGACACCAGGCAACCACAGGGGCTCACTAGCAGTACTGAGATCCCAGACATTCGTAGCGCCCATAAAGTTTCTTGGGAATTTTGTTACAGCTACCGTTCCCAGTGGTACCTGCTATTGCTTCTGTCAGCCGTAAGTATACCAACTTTGTCCGCGTCCTACCACGAGGATGGCAAGTGCTAGATTTTGGTCTGCGTAGTTCTTACACGCCTTAAAAAAGCTCATGACCATAAAAAACCCGAAATACCGGGGATTTTAAGTGATCCAAGTGCAGTTTTGCCCTCCTGTAGGACTTATTTTGAAACCATTTTTCGACCGTACACTACGCAGACTTTAATTCAGTATTGTGTTTCTTTTTGCTATACAGTGGCCGGAGGTTAAGGTCGCCAAAGAAGAGCACCGCCATGAGCTGGTACTCTCGGGCCCGGAAATTTTGAAGCGCGTTGAAGCCAATGGCCTGGACGAACTGATTTTCAGCCTGAAGCAGCTTAATTTCCTTGAAATCTCGCGCTCTGGTATAAGCACTCTTCCCGATGACATTCAAAAATTGGGCGATTTGACGAAACTCTCCTTAAAACACAATGCTCTGACTGAAATTCCTGTCGGCCTGGGGAATGTTAACAACCTGCGTTTCCTCGATCTTTCCTTTAATCACATATCAAATCTGCCAGAAAATATTTTCGACAATTTGAGCCACTTAGAGAGTCTGGCACTGGACTCCAACGAGCTTCAGTCTCTACCCCCTCTTAAGGGGCTTGTAGAATTGCACGTACTTTCAGTTTCGAGTAACAAACTATCGGTAAGTTTCCAGGTCTCGATTTACTGTGGGTCCAACCTTACTAGATACACTTAAAAAAATACCTCTACCATGCATTTCAAATGCAATTTTTTCTAACCTTTACTATGCCGCATATTTGATATTGAGTGCACCTCTAGTGATTCTCTACTATTTAAGAGTGGGAGTGTTGTAGTTGAGAAGAAGACAACTCGATCGCCGGGACAATACTTTTATTCGAGTTGACCCAATTGTGAAAAAACTCGAGGCATTCGGCGGGATTTGAACCTGCGTATTAGAGAAGGCCCTTACCGGAAGCCAACGCTCTAACCGCTAAGCTACATACCTCATAATAATACTTTTATTCGCCTGACGCTTCGACATCCGTCACGGATTCATCATCAGAGACATTAGCATAAAACGGTAGCAGAAAAGGTTGTAGTTAGCCTGGTAAAGAGGCACCTACATTTATCACTCTCAATTGTACACAAGCCAGGCTCGAAAGATCGCTGGGATCTAAAATATCACCATTGGCAAGGACCATTTTAATAAGGAGTCTTTGGCTAACCCCTATGTG